AAAAACGATGTTCAAAACCGGTTTTGATGACTTTCCGGTTTTACATGCCCTAGTCTTAATACACATTGTAAGTACTAACGTGCCAACGTCCCAGGTTCAAACACAAAAGTATGCTAAAATAAATACATACTTAAGACACTTTTGTAATGTTTTAAAGCGATACTTTCCATGTGTTAGTCATGCTTACACGTTTTATTTTGTATCCTGTTTGAGGTTATTCTGCCAGGGCCGATACTTAAACGCTCGTCCTAGTTCCGTAAAGGCTAAATCGTAATTTAAATATTTATACATTCAAATTACCAATTTTACCGCCTTACGAATTTTAATTTTAAAGGTATTTGAAATAAAAAAAAATATTTACATAAAAATCTGTTTTAAATAACTTTCTTCATTCTATCAGAATTATATCCCAAATAGGGCTGTCGAAAGTGACATTGTATTGCCGAAATTAAGTGATGCGACGTCACCAAATGGCCGGTTGACAAGGTTAGCAAGCAGATGTTGGCAACCTTGACTCCGCAGATCGTTTACAAGAAAAGAGGCCCTTTATGACCACATAAAACTTTGTACTTTTATTTTATGAGCACTTTAAAATGCACTTGTAAGGTGTTCCAAGTGCCTTGTAACTAACGAAGGATGTAACCATAATTTAACGTTAAGATAATTTTATTGCTTCCCTCTTAGCCTAGCGCATTCAAACAATTACATTGTAAACTCGCTGTCTTCCCAAAGAAATTAATTGCTTACTATCACGTCACGATAGTTCACTATTGTACAGACGTCGATGCGAGGCAGTGACGCGTGAAAATGTGACAAAAGGTTCTAAACGATAAAAGGTTGGGTGCCACTGCGGTGAGCGTGGGACTGTGGGATTCGGAAGCGCACATCACTAGTTCAGAGTAGTGGTGGACCAACGGTTGGTGATCCGCGACCACTCCGCCCGTGCGCGCGCGCAGTATCGAGCTTAGAAATTAATAATAAAGTTGGTTTTAGCGATAACCGTGCTTCGTGATCGTGATATTTTGTGAATATTCGTGTAAAAGTCAACTTCATTGGATTTTTTTGATGAAAATTACCAATTGATAGTGCTTTGATAGATTTGTTTGATAAGTTATTTTAAAGGTAATTTTTTTATTTGTTATTCAAAGAAAAATCATATATTATCTCATAAATAATTTTTATTTGATTTTTACTATTATAAAAGTATAATATTAGTCATGAACATCAATCAAAAGTTGTCGAATAATGTGTTTTTGTTAAAATGTTGTCTAAACAATGCCGCGATCATTACTGTGGTTTCCGCCATTATAATAATTTTAAGATAAATGCCTTGTGGTGATTGTTCTGTAATACCCACTAAGTTTTCTTGACCCCAATGGTTTTTTACTTCATAATTGAGCTTTTCTATGATGTATGTATGTATTTATTTATTAACACTAGAAAGACGGAAAAAGTCATCTACCTACAAAGACGGCGAGCGGTCAAATGACTGCTCCAAGTTTTTTGATATTTTTTTATGTTTAATTGCTAGAAATGGTACCTATAGTATTAAACATGGTATAATATACTGTTAATTAAGTAATATGTATAGAATTTCAAATTTTATCATTTTGTTTACATTACAAAAGCCGCAAAGTGGCTTTTTGCAATTGTCGCATTCTTTATGGTTTTTGTATTTGCATTTGTGTATATAATATTTTGGAATTTACTGGATTTTGTGCAGAAGATTGTGAAGTAAAAGATCTAGACTCTTCAGGCAAGGATTCAGTTTCAGAGAGTCTTCTTCAATTTATACTTTGCTTCTAAGTTCGCGCCCTGAACTTAGTATAAATAGCCTTTGTTTCATGTAATATTCTACATTTTCCTATACTAAATGAAGGAATTATATCTAAAAAGGAAAATTATCTAAATTATGTTATATCTTTGCTAGGTCTCAAATATGAAAAAAAAAATGTATTTCACCTTTGAGATGCTCGTAACATTTTGACCAGTATTTGCAAAAAGTTTCACAAGACGCATCTGTATCAACGGATTCATCGACATTTGACCACTTAGAGTAGATGCGATTTGAGGTGTGTACAAGAAATACAGTCGATAGTTGTGAAAAGACCTTGATGCTCAGGATCTTCCAAACTTCTTTCACAGCCTTTATCACTACCACAGCAACGACTACAACCACGAGAACCCGACCTGTCAACGTCTGATAAATTTGCTCGAAGTATCTGGTCTTTCAGGTCACTTCCGTCCGTAGAGGAATTCGAACTGACAAGTAATACCACATAATCGTCGTCGCTATCATGTTTTGTATTTTTAGAGTCAAAATCAGACTCATCTTCACAAATATTTTGGAAGTAACAAACGTTTTTTCATTTTCAAGACTCTAACACGTTGCGACCACAAACTACTTTCAATAATTTCGTAAAATTTCACAGACACTTGAAATGATACGGTGTCATTTGATAAACAAACTATAAACAATGAATTAGTGTATATAATTTGTATTCTACCCTCTCATGTTACACTTATAAACACTCATTGGTTGTCAGCAGTCAAATGACTGCCGCCGTCTTTGTCGGTAGATCAAGATTTTAAATAATAAATAAAAGAGTTGTGATTTATTTTCATACATAGTTGCATTTAACTAGTAAAATAAGTAAAAGTCACAAAGTCTCAGTTTAAAAACTCAAATAGATTTCAAGTTATTCAACATTTAAAATCAAATTGCGGTCAAATGACTGCTCCCGTCTTTCTAGTGTTAAGTCTAACAATAGGTCCTGTAACTTATTAGATACAAATGTTTAATGTAGTTTAAATACAGACAGAATTTTCCAAAGAAAGTTCTCATATAAATTTGAAGGGCTACAAAAATATGAAATGATGAATTAAAATAATATGTTATGGTATATTTACATTACACCGCTATTTTTATATTCTACTACATAAAAATATTTATTGACTTATTTCTCAGACATAAGTTACAAATAGATTTTCCTAAGTTACAATAAAAAAGTCTTAACAAAGGTAAACAAATCAATCATTACATGTCGTTATATAACAAGAAAATATCAGTTTATCTCAAATACAGCTTCCTGTGAACCCTAATAAATATCCCTTAGAAAGCTGTTAACTCAAGCTAATATTAAAATACGGACAAGTTCTAAGTAAAAATAAATTTACGACCAGTTTTACTTTAACATCCGGAGAAAATTATATAAAAATCGGAAATAACTCATTTTCCCTCTCTTTAGTAACACATATGTAAATATGGGGTTTTATTACACATTAAAATTGCGATAACATCATCATTTCCTTGTCCATCCACTGCTGACATGAACCTCTTTAATGACAAGTTACTGAGCCCTATCTTTAACTGTTCATATCCAGCTAATGCTTTCCCGATAATATGAATATTTTAATCGTGTTCAAGATTGATCAAGTATGTTAGTTATAAAAATAATAATTGAAAAACATGTGTCTATTCATTTTGACCATATATAAAATAAAAAAACCATAGACGATAAAATTAATCGATTCTTCTGGAATCGATTTCATATTTTTGCGGGAACAAATTGTATATTTGAAAATTCTTCTCTCTTTCTTTCCTTGCTACATACTTCAATTCTATTTCTCTCTGGTAATATAGTATAGGTAAAGTCTCAAATTAAGTTAATTATCCTGTTATACATTTATAATAAGGTCAATGTACTTACGACCTGAGCTAGGTAAAAAATATACTACCTAGTCAGTCGTTGCATCGTATTGCATTAAAGGCTCACTTTATTGGTCTTTAGACGTAATGCATTACGTTATTCTATTGCAATTCATTACGTCATTCTTCTTAGAAAGAAGCAATGTAGATGTACCTCCCATTTCAACACTCAATAACTTTCTTTCCAATGGGGTATTCTTCTATTTTTATTCCTGGTTCAGGCCATTCTTGCGTACTGTTTGCGTTTAATTCATTAACAGTATGTTTCAAAACAAATAAATTATTGGTTTCTCCACGAACCAAATATTTAGACTGATATCACTCTTTAACGTCCTCTTCTAGTTAGTCTTCAATCACGATGTCACCAATAATAAATCGTCTTCCAGGGTCGACAAATAGCATTATTAAGAATGGCATTAGACCAAATTATATACAAGACACTCTAATTTACTTAGGCTCCACATATAAATATTGCTAGATGTTCCATTTCCCTAATACAGTCGATCGCGCAACAACCAGTTAAAACATAACATAGGGAAACCAATTGAGCTAACATTTTAACAATCAGTTTACAACTACTCAATCGGTTTACTTGACCCGTATCCAACAGATGTTTAACCAAGGTTTACCTCGTTAACCTGAACAATTAACTGAGACAGTTAACTATATAGTTACAGTTTTATTTTCATAATAAAACTGTGAATCCATTTTGTTAATATAGATTGAATGGAGCGTGTAATTGTGGTTGGATTACGTTGACTGAGGTACCGTTTCTTGTTAGAAAAAAAGTGTTAAAATGGTGTTATTTATGACTAATATTGTACTTTATATAACTATTACAAGATACTAAGCAAAATATAAGCGTTAATCTATACATGTTAATAATATTGGAGGGTCTGTTTGTAATATTGAAATAACCGCTTTTTACTACATGCGATACCAAAATGATAATTTTATTATTAGGCAGCTGATGTAATAAGGAGCAACTTAGGCTATTTTTCCACCAATGCTTTTGCCAAGTCCCGCATACAACTAGTATCAATATATACAATCATTAATGCCATCAATAAATTCCCAATAAATATTCTCGTTAACAAAATCCTTAGGTTATCGATCACGAAGCGTAAAACCAAACGTGATTTATCAAGTTTTTTGTTACACGAACAACAACGAACAACACAATACACAATGTGCTAACTTAGTAAAAAAAACCTTCATTGTTGGCACACCTAACTCTATCTATACCTATTTATCGACCTCGAATTTTCACTATAAACATTTTTTTTTTCAGCTGACAAGAAGCCATTGGCTCAGAAGAATACGCCATCTAAGACGCCATCTTTGGCTAGTTCTAGAAGTAACTCTAAAGACGATAATTCTGATGACAATATAAGTCAGAGTTCCGTGGGAGGTGGGATTAAGGATAAACTAGCTGCACTGTTTAATAAGGAGCAGACGATCAGTGAATCTACTATTGCTAACAAGTTTAAACAGGAGAGGGAGAAGGAAATGGAGATGCTACAGAACAGATTTCATTATAAGGTGAGATATTTTATTTAATGCAGTTTTCTTTTATTTTAGGAAAGTTGGTTAGGGTGTAAATCAATACTAACCGCAATTCTTCAATTCTCGACACCAAAAAGGCGCCAATGCACTTGTTACCCATCTGGCAATTCACCTGCTCGATTGCCGGCTGACCCCATAAAAATGTAGTCTATACCACTGGTATCTCGGTATACGGCTTCTTAAGTAAGGGTTTGTAAGCAAATTATCATTGTCTGATGTCAGCTTCAATATTTACGTAAACTAATCCCAAAAAGGGAGTCAAACTTAGTTTTACAAGGTTCCCCGTCAATTAAGCGATATGTAATGGAAATCTTTTCGGTATACTGTAGTACTACTGTGTCTTTCAAATTAAGGTAAATTATTCAATGCTCAGATAGCTGAGGAATATCTTTGAATATTATCAATTATATTATACAGTTAAGAATTAGCTGATGTTTGAAAAATCAGCCCTTAGGATACTATTCTTCTGACAACGATGCCATTCTTCAACTTACCGACATTCCTATTTAAAACTATCCACAAACATTTTAACTAAAATTCCTTTACGGTAGACATCGTCTCCTCGCTCCAACTCCTAACTTATTACTCCTGAGTTATTCCCGTCTCGAGGGCAACAAACTAGTGCTATTTATTTCCTCTTGCTTTACTCGGAAAGGAAATTAAGAACTGTACCTATTACTAGTTATGTGATTACCTTTAATGAGGACAGAAGCATATTATTGCCATTTTATATTAATGCTGTTTATAAGAATCATGGCTATTAAAAGCTTTTAATTAACTAAGAAATCCCTATAAACATTTAATGTACATGGCTCAAATAGGATAGACAGTAGTCTAGTGAAGTAAATAGAAAGATTCATAAAATAAGTTAAATACTATTTTATTTAACATTTTGCATAGAGTTGAGAGTAATCGACAAATAATATGAAAGTTTATGTCGACATTAGTCAATGAGTTTTCTATGCTCCTGATCTCTTTATCTTCTTGATAGTATTTGTGTAAAGGGAAAATAGTCATCCAGATGTTAGAGTACTATCCACCCCAAGCGGTTAGTACATTGGTCAGCAGATTGATTTTCGACTTTATGTCATCAACACAATAAAGTTGAAGATGTAATGGTTTCTCCATTTACATAAAAGAATAGGGTGACCTGCTGGCCACCGAACATTTAAAACTAACACCGAAAATGAACGAAATAACCGACTTAACAAACTGTATCTATATTCTGTTGTAACATAACAAAGTAACGAAAGTCTACACCAAGCACAATAAGCGATAATTGACAGCTCCATACATTGAGTACACGCCCTAAACCTTAAAAGAAACACAACCATTGCGAAATACCACGCAACATGTACTAATGACTTGTGCATGTACTAAGCAAAGCTTTAGGCCTCGAAGGCTGAGAAAAAAGAAATCGATTTATACTTTAAACGTACCTGCCATTATAGCCTCTATGCCCATTGTTTTAAAGCCTTTTGTTCCTTTGCCAACGTATGTTACTGATTGGTTAGCAATTAACATGTTAGTTTGTTAAGTAAAGCCTTATTGCATATTCAACGTACAATATGAGAGTATTATGCAGTTTGTCTTGCGTTGAATAGTTCTTGCAGTTGTTTAACACTTATATTCTACGGAATGTTAGAAGGAAGGGGCATTCGCAGTAAAATGTTGATTGGTTTCTTAGAATTTCTATGAGCTTTGAATTTCTTCAGTGTTTTTCGTTATTTCGTCATTTAAGTGTGGGAGAGCCATGTTTCGGCACGAATGACCGGCTTGACCGGAGTGATACCACGGCCTCACAGAAAACCGACGTGAAATAACTTGCGTTGTGTTTCGTCGTGTAAGTGAGATTACCGGAGACCCAATTAAATTAACCCATAAAAAATCGCAAGATAGACTAATATAAGACTTCTCGTCATTGGTAATTTTAACAAACATTTTTGCCTAAATTTAGATGAATTAGAAATTTACTTGACTGTTCTATCATCATTATTACAGTACAGCTAAATGTCTTTTCGAAGTACTTCAATTTAAAAAGAACTGAACTAAACTCAAGGTATCGGTTTTCACAGCTGCTACCAACGTCCCACTAAGGTAACTTGCTCACCTTACCGAGTCAATAAATCGTGATGTTTCTATCTTTACCGTAAAAGGATACTGGATTATAAAATATATTAAACACTACGTGATCTATCGTATCAACTTGTGTCGGATTTCTTAGATTAACCCTTTCATAGCTGAGAATTTTGTAACATAATTAATATTGTACGCGCTAATAGATGACTTGAAAATCTTTATATTTTGTCTGGTAGCAATACCTTTCATACTTAGCCCATCGAGTGTCTTATGCGCCAATCGGTACATTTGCAGGGGGGTCAAACACTCGATGGGTTAATAAAGGAAGTATAATTATATGTGTATGGTACAAATCTATTTTATCCTACACACATTTCAAATCTCGAGATACGCACTGTGAAATAGGTCTTTTAGATGTAGTATAAATATAGATCCTAAATCTACTGTAAGATAATATTTTCGGTTTAAAATATTCATCAGAAAACGTAGCATAAAACTGCAACCGTTTTAAGCTCTTTTCTGGATTAAAGCCAAATTGGCAACGTCCATATTCAGGCCATATTTTGGTCCGAAGCTTTTTATGCTTTTCTGCGTTACCAGTATCGTTGGCAAGCGTCCTATTAAATTGGGAAGTCCCCTTTCCAAAATGCATTAATACATTCTAGGAGACAGATAGGCGACGTATTTAAAAAAATCTCTCATAAGAGTCATGGGTTGAATTTCAATTAGATATTTTGTAGATGCTTTTTTGTTTATTTTTTGTCTAGTCTTTATGCAAATTGTAATTGTGTTTGGTATTCAACCTTTTCTACTATAAGATAAGGTTTAAAATATATATGATCTATTGTGGTAGGTTCATGTGCTGCCGTTTCTATCATACGTACACGTCGTGTGGTCTCCGAAAACCTCCCAAGAACAGTCTGTAGTCATAAAATAACTTCATCCGGGGTAGCAACTCATTGACTATCCTACCGCTAAATCCCGTCAATATGTTCCCGTGTGAACATGTCTATTCATTAAAATTTTCCTTTTGAAGTGACCCAAGACATGGGGCATTTGGTTTTGTTCAAAGTTGTACCATTGATTGGGTATGTCCTTAGATAGTCATTGATGAACTGGTTATTTTAGACCCCTTGTGTATCTTAATTGTATGTTTATTGTGGTCGTATTAGTTGGCTAATCGGTTGGTCGCTAATCGGCCGGTCTTTAAGGAACCCCTTAGCTATGATAGGTGACACTTAAAGACTTTTCTTTGTTTCGGTTTTCGCTTGGTTTCCTGTAAATGACACCTAACAGTACATACAAGGGGTGAGTTTAGGTGCTGCTAACGCTTAGTAAATCTCAGTTAAAAGACGGCTAATGTAGTTAGTGGAAGAGTGTTCTTCTTGTGGTGTCACATCAACCCTAAGGTTGGTCGTTAGTTTCTTAAATGCGTGCGAGTTATTGGTCAAATAGAAAAGTTGTTCAAGAGAGTGTTGGTTAATTAAGAAAATTATTCTTATGATAAAGAAGACCTGTTAATGTAGCTAAATAAATACATCTACTTCTCATCCTTTTGAGACACCTAGTGTTAGTAATGTTACACTTTTTTCTTTCTTTCTACATTATCACAAAAAAATACATTTGTTTTCAAAACAATACCGTACAAAAGGTATAGAAAATTACTCCTTACTTAGTCGTCATCTTCTAAATAATACATTTGTCGTGACTCCATTTAGTTTCGCCAATACTGTTTTACTACTTTGTAGTGCAGACTAGCCTACTCATTTTTGCCAAACACCTATGTATGTGTATTCGGTTTATAACTTTATTGGTTTTGATGTAAAGTTGACAATCTAATGAAAAACTTCACAGATTGAATTGCTGCCTGCTGGCGTGTGTACTAAATCACTTCGTCAAGCTACCCCTAACTTTAGATATCTTCAATGCATTTTGGACTGTATAATAAAGTCACTGAAGTTGAATTTGGAATGAAGAGTTTTAGTATATAAATAGACGTTGTGAATCATCTTACTATTAGGTGATTGTCGAAACAGTTGGGTGGTTTGTGGGAGCCATTTCGACATATCCGCACCTCAGTTCGAATACCTTATTGGGAAATATGGCGTTACACATTATTTTTTAGTTAAATGATGTTTTTGAGTTGTCGATTCTATGTAATGGAATTTATTAATACCGCACTTGTAAGGTTTATAATGGAAAGATTCTAAAATTCTGAGCGTCTTTATAGTTTTGAAGGCATATTTCGAACTGTATTACTATTTTATATACCTACCTAAACACTTATAGATAAGTCAGTTTCGTTATGTAATTTTTCAACTGAATGAACCATCAAGTATAAAATTAGTTTTGATAATAAACACATAATATTAAACCAAGTAAATGGCTAAAAGATTTCCTAATAAATAGAATATTTGCGCACATATAACAAGTTTGTACGTAATTTGATATATGTATTACGACATACATTTAATAACAACGTATGTTTATGTCGTCAACTATAAAATCATTAGGTTTTCCTGTCATGGAAATCTTTATTAATGTTAATCGATCACATATTCACACAAATTGGACATTAAATTATGTATTAGTTAACCTAGATTTAGTGCCCCTAAACCGATGTTGTTGACAAATTATTAGATAGATAAATAATATACCTCAGTTTCTCATTAGTAAATACAAACCTTGTCTAAACGCTTCATAATGAATGGAAGTAAAACGGATACATTATCAGCATTCAGACATTTCTTGCCATCTAGAAGATAAACTAAATGGATAATGAACACTTCATACCATGTTGTTATTCTATCTTCTTCGTCATCCTTCTCTTATGCCATATACATAGATTGTATATCTCACAAGTGCATTAGCATCAGCTAATGACGACTGAGGATTTACTAAGGATCATATTTATTTATATATTCTTCTTCACACAATTTATTGACAGTGAATAGTGGACTTCACCCAAATACTGAAAGACTAATTTTAATTTGTACTTAAATATCGTGCCATCTCTGTAATTTTACAAATAATTTGTAGTGACAGAACTATGCTTAACCGCGACTTAAAATTGAGTACAGTATTCTGACATTAATGCCTTGTGGCATTCTCTCAACAGTCAGCCATAGGGGCTGTTTCGTTGCGGAGAACCTAACGGGTAACCGGGGCTCCGGCTCGACGTGCAGAAGGAACGGGGTGGTTTTTAGTCAGTAAGAGTCTGACACTGCCTCCCGCCTCACCCAGGCGGGAGCAGTCGATAGAGCATTCGACGAATTTTACCCCATTAAAAAAAATAGAGCGTTGTTTTTTTGGTAAAACTTGAATGTCAATACAATTCTACTAACCGATTTTTTTTCATAATTCCAGCCAAAACAAGAAAAAGAAGACACTCCAAATGATTCTGATGATGACACAAGTGAACACGATCCTTCAGAGAAGGCTCCCCTCATGGGCAGTACTGTAAGTCTCTCGCAAAACAACAAGAAACCAGAGATCATTTCCAACCTACCCAAAGTTATCTTTGACGAGAAGAAATCCGAAGCTTTGAACGATAAGGAGAAAGAGATTGAGAAAGAAGACAGAGTTATTGGATCACAACCTGTTAAAAGACGAAGTTAGTATGGTCATATATTTTAATCGATTTTTAATAACTTTGTTTCTACCAGCGGCGTTGCCTGCTTTATCGGGATGAGAAAATAAATCATTGCAACCTATACAAGAGTCAAATAAGTTAGAGTGTATTGGAAATTATTTTTAATTTAAATGCATTTACATATCATGACCTATCATGTGCTCGTGTGACACACAAACAGCAATCTTCTAACTTCTATATTTACCATGCTGATTCTAATGATATGTTAACTAAAATCTCTGGTAATTTACCTACTTGTGCCTACTTTATTATAAGTTTAAAACATTGTCTTACAAACTTGTTTCAGGTTCCCAAGACTCGCCAGTTGTCCTATCAGTTCTAGACGATGTAAAGAGAATTAAAGTAAATAACGGCAAAAAGGAACCACAAACTAACGGAGCGGTGTTACAGCAACCAGCCAGTCTGTACCCACATCTGTCAGACATTGAAACTGATACATCTCATAATCAGGATGAATACTCCGATTGCGGAGGATCAAGGTGTGGACACTACACTCTCGAGTGCATCTTCTTCTTTCTATGTATTTAAAAACTTGACGAAAGTTGCTTGGAGTTAAAATCTAGATGGCGTTGTACTCAAAAGCGAGTTCCAAGATGGCGGCGTTGCAGCAACAGTTGTGACTTGAAGTACATTTTTGTATGTTCCTATTAAGTTAGGATGTTATTGTTTGGTTTATTATTTTAATTAATTACTAAACCTAAATAATAATACTTCAAGATATTTGAAAAGCTTGAAATATAAATAAATACTTATTCGATGTTGCTGCAACAAATAATTAGACTTTGATAATGTATCGATAGTATAAATATTTATTATTATTCCTATTTACTATTTATTACGTGTTTCTAGTGCTAGACAGGTTGCCTAGCCAGTTTTAGACTAGGTTTCAACCTAGATTAAGTTTGACATTGAACCGATTTAGACTAATTACACTAGGTAGGTAACTATGTGGGCATACATTAGTATTCAATCATTTAAATACAACTACGGAATAATATAATATCGACGTAGCAATTACACAGTTGTTTAAACGTCAGTTTTTCATAGATTGATATCAAAAACAGTTTCCAAATGACAATATAAACGGCTATAATTGTATCGCAATTTTCTATTTAAAGTATACAATGCCGTTGATCTATTAGCAACTTAATTCTCCTTTGAATAGGATCGAAAATTAAAGATGTTGTGTAAGTGGACTTGCGACCAATTGTTTTTGGTAACAAATGACTGTTTTAAAGGCAAGTCTGACCTATAGTATTACAAATTATCAGTAGCGACATGAATTTACACCGAAGTTTGACTTTTTCGTTATTACATGGCCAGCTGATGTATGTTCTATAAACTATGTCTCTTAGCCGAAATTAAAAAAAAAACAAGAATAATGAAATGATAATAAACCTTTTTCGGTCAAGTACAGTGGCCCGGCGTATGAACCTACTCCCAATCTGTCAAAAAGAATTTATTGCATTTTCGACTTTATGTCAATACAATTAAGTTGAATATGTAATAGAAAAACAGAAAAGGATAGGCCAGCAGGTGTTGGCCACAGTACATAGTATGTCTCATAATATCTTAAGTATTGATATTAAACCTTTGTCTTATAAACAAAATGCAATAATTTACAATTTGAAATTAATTACAACGTGCCTAAATTATAAAGGACTGGTTTACATAACTTTTTGGATACTTATTTGATTAGCAATAAGGTTTAAAATTGAATGTCACATGATAATAAGTAATTTGGTTTACCAGTCATCGGCTACGTAGTTTTTATAGGTAAATCATTCATTTTGATTGAAGATTTAACGGTACTAAATCTGTAAGAGAAATTCAATAATGTTTTATAGTTCTTGTCATGCGATTTTTTATCGAATAACAGTAGTATTAAAACTATTAAAGTCCGTTATAATGAAATCAGAAAAGGAATTTTGACAAATAGAAAGATATTTCGTACTCCAGTGCATAGATATTATCTGTTAATACTTGCAAATAGTACATATTTTAAAATGCCTATTGTCTTGTTGACAAAAACCTGGGCTTTATAAACTTTATTCTTTTTTATTTTTAACATTTGAAGGGCCGTTTGGCCACTATCTCGCCTCATGGTAAGCGATGATTTATTCTTAATTCATTAGATATTACATTTAACAAAAGCCTTCTCAAAGACACGACAATTTCAGAGTACACAAACATACTCACATGTAAGTAATTCGATACTTACAATGTCCCACAAAGTTGCAGATTGCACAATGTGCCGTTACATTACACTATACACTGTACGGTTCTAGTAAATTGTCACGTTTGTAATAACTTCTCATATTACTGTCAAGCTGCTGACTGTTGAACTTAGTATTATGGGTTCATTTGCACTTCGGAATATTTTAACAACATAACATCACGCCTTTTATCCTCAAAGGTGTAGGCAAAGGTGGACATTATCCCGCTGTACTATGTAACACCCACTTTTCACGTTTGGAATATTTTAAATGACATATTTTTTGTACTTTGTACTCGGTACTGCCTTTAGTAAATATTCTCGTGACACTAAAATCAGGGGTGAACATGTTGTTCAGCTTAAATAGTTGCTAAATATTACGTTTTCACTACTGAAAGTATCATCATACTAGCATAGAAAATATTTTTTTTTATTATAATCTTTATGAAAAAGGTTTTGCCCTAAATTCTACTTAAAAACTAAATCAGTTGATGTTTATGAAAATATAAAAAAATAAAAAATCAATTGCATAACTTACTATACTCAAAGATGACAATTAATCAAGTCATTGACATCTTATCTCTCTATTCAAAATCAATTTATTATTGCAAGTAACCTATTTATTTCATTTAAATATAGCATTATTATAAAGATTTACTACAAACATCTTCTTATTTGCCTAATATAAAACAAAAATACTAATAAAAAATTAAAGTTACTTTAAAATAAAAATTAAAAATCGTACACAAAATGAGTAGCACAAACTACCGAATATACTTCATTAGGTATTCACTAAATGTCCCGAGTTATTGGGTCAAGTCGATTTGCATGGTTGCCGGTGGACTGCGAAAAAAAAAAGTTGATTATCACGCGTACATATCTAATTTGTTTGCTCTATGTCTTTATATAGAAGAAGAGGGACTTTTTTATATTTTTCCCCTTAATATTTCTGAGTATTGCGTTTGTTATTGGTCAAGACTGTGTTTTCTTCTTCTTTGAAAAAACGTTGCCCCACACTAGGATTTTCTCCTGTGTCGTGGGTGCGTTTACAAACATACAAGTTCACATACACATGACACCCAGACCCGAAACAACAATTTGTGGATCACACAAAGTGTTTTAAAAAGCTTGACAAGCGAAAATGTACCTTAATTAATGACGTATCTGATAGCTACACTGATTAAAATTCTGTTTATGAATGTCAGAAATAATAGTAGTGGATTGTGACGTCATCAGTTTTACTGTCACACACTTCGTGTTTTTTTATAAATTCTGCACTTGTAAAGAAGTCTGTAAATACTTGGCCGCCAATGTTTAAGGCTTTCTGTCTCTATTTGCTTATTATGTGAAACTATAGTACATATTTCTAAAGCAATAACTATGAATAAGTAAATACACTCAAAATAATTGAAACAATATCACCTATACCTAACAGTATATATGTACCTATATACATTATACACTTCTTATAGCCTGTTGTTTACCGAAATGTAATTCTAAACTAGACATAGTGCATTTTCTATTGTTTCTCATAATGCGATAGGCAACTGATTTTAAGCCTTTGACTGCCTACAGAAAACTGTTGAAAGCAAATCCTCCGCTAACGTAGGTCACCGATGACCTACGTGGCGGTTAACGTGTTAAGACTGTAAGATGCCTCGATGCCTGTTAGTATGTAGTGGTTTTGCTACATTCTTTTACACACACTTATACACTCATATATATATATCGTAGAATAGTAATACATATCTATTTAAACTGCCCACAATTACAAGCACTACTTATTATTCAAACATAATAATGAACAGTACAATTCCATAGAAATTGCGCTTACATTAAAATGATACTTAATAACATATACATAAAGTTTTTTATACTCTGCCTCTTTCTTGCATATAAAAGACAATAAATTCGTATAGATTTTGATAGTGACAAGCTAATATCACCCTTAAGGTTATAGTATTAACGCTCAGCACATAAATATATAATAATTTAGAGTCCATAATTCAATTCAATTCAGAGATTGTTGTTAAACAAGCAAATATCACACTTAAGGTTCTAATGTTAACGCCTAAATTGTCGAATACTTCTACTACTTACTAAATTGTACTAGTAATTTATTAGAAACAAATTATAATTGTTATAAGTACGTAAGAAAATTCCGAAATCAAAATTAACTTATCTAAACGAATACTTTAGGTTTACTAGGTTAAACTATTCGGGCTAATGTCTAGACATTCGTGAACTAGATACATGCATAATCAAGTAACATAAAACAATTGAAATTAGACTCTTTACCTATGTTCACAGAGTTGAAAATATCGATACTTAATTAGTTAATGTTTGCAATAGTTTAACAGTTCATTAAGCGGGGATTCCATGAATGCGATCATGCGATTTTTTGTCCTGTACTCCTAATGGGACTTGACGTAACACCTCAAGTTGAATAATTGCAATTAATCGTATGATCTGCGTTAATGAAACACAATGCCATATAATAACATCCAGCATTTTCGAAACGCCATTTTTTTCCATATCTATTTAATTTAATATAGTTTGTATGTCGACTAATATTTTTACGTAATTATAAGACTCCTTTTCAGGTATTTTGTAAATTATGTTGTCTGTGATAATATAATACTTAATATAGTAACGATTTTTTGTAAAATAAAGCTATTGAAACATACAATTTGGTTTTTTAATTCCCTTTTGTTTTGCTGTGCTCCTTATTAAATTTTTTGCAGAAATGTTCTCAGTGTGTTGTTTGGTTTTATTTTGGCTAGCCCTTATTTTGTCTACAATGGGGATGAGTTTAAATCAATGAGGGTTCAGAATGGACCCTCGTGGTTGTTCTTTACCTAGTTTCACAGGATCGTATTAACTGCTAAAGTATTACTGGGCTTTTTAAAAAGATCTCAGTAGTAGCACGAAGTCTGGATTTGTGCCCTGTACATGCCAATAGACTCACCCCCTATTACATGGGACTCGTAACATAAATAGTGAAAAGTGGGTGTTACTTTGTACAGTGACATTGAGTGCCGTAATGTGTACTTCTGCCTGCCTCTTCGGGGATAAAAGGCGTGATGATATGTTATGTATTAACTGCGTAGCAGCATATAACTGAAAACGTATATTAATAGGGCTTCTTTTCAGGACTATACCTTCATTCTTTTTACAGAGTATGATTATATTGACTACATGACAAGTAAACTCATTGTTAATCTAGAAAATTCGTTAAACATTTATATGTACAACTCTTTTTTTGGACACCTGTAGATATTATTAAAGAAAAATAACATAGGCAATTAAAATATGAGACAGCATTAACATTTTCACAGGACAGTGAATGCGTTAAAGGTAAATCTGAATGAAAGATATAAATGCTAGTTAATTAGAAAGCGCTTTAACTGTAGTATCTGTATGATTACTTATTGTTTGCAAATAAAGACGATCATTCCTAAATCAAGTTATAGTTGGACCCTGTTAAGCAGAAAAGATACAGCCTACATTTTATTACTTTTGAGTACATTAAAAAGTAATCATATGACACAGTCTAATCATATGACACAATACCTATTCAATATTATCTGCCCAACATTAAACTTAATTTAGTCAAAAATAAAAAAAAATGGGCTGGATCTTTTCTGCAGGGTCCAGTTATAGCATAGCGTTCTAACAACGTTTTGCTATGAGCTTTACAACAGGCATTATGAATATTGATTCTTTTCTCTGAGTGAAACGGATAGTCTCACTGAATTAGAGACTACTAGCTTCTGCCAGCGACTTTCTCCGCGTCCCCGTAGGATAAAATTTAGCCTATGTGTTTCACACCATAATCTACCCCTGTTCCAAATTTCATCACCATCCCTTGAGCCGTTTTGTCGTGAAGGAGTAACAAACACACAAACATACACTTTTGCAATGGGGATGATGACAGGGTATGAAAATTAAAAATATAATTAGTCCGTAAGTTAGGTAATGAAAAAATATTAGACACGTAGTTTTTTATTTTGTCGTATAATAAAACAATACTTAGATAAAACGAATCAAAGTTTAGGAGTGGGGGCTAAAACGTCATTTCTTAGTATAAAATGTACTGAGAAGTGACGTCACGCGACATTTCAAATCAATATATCTTCGAAACTATTCGTTTCTGTGAGAAAATAAAAAATACGTGTCTAATGTTTTTAAATAATCTATCAGACGGACATTAAAATAAAAATTAGTCGTCTACCCTAGTGGGATGCAATACAGCTATCCATATTCTATATTCTAGGTATTTGTTTTGACGTTCAAAAGTTCCTGCCTGGTCTAATTGAAAGAAATGATTATAACTTTTTTTTAATAATGCATTAAATAGTTCTATTATTAGACATGAAAATGTATCTGTTTTTGGGAGATTTCCCTCACATTTTGTTCTCTCTATTAGCTAATGTATTCTACCCAGAAATATCTTCCTACACTCACAACCCAATACAACCAATCTTCGAAAGCACAAACCATATGAAATAAGACCAACAAAATGAACCGTTTTTACAAACACATCTGCCGACGTTCGAGGGAGGGAACCAGATGTTTCATTGAATACGAAATTATAAGCTAGGCACGACAGATGGCGCGACTGTTTTTATATTACTTAGGTCAAGGTGTGCGTGCAAACTTTATATCCAAATATTCAAATGCCACATTATTTTAAGACTTCTTCTATCACTACAAATTCTTTATAAAATGACAGAGATAGCACGATATTCAAGTACAATTTAAAATTTAGTAAACTTTCGGTATCCGGGTGTTAATCTCGTGTGAATTATCAATTTATTGTAGGCTTTAGGCTTGTTTTATACCGTAATACATTGGTTTTTTTTAAGGGGGGAAATCATCGAATGACTTCTCCCGCCTGGGTGAGGCGGGAGGGAGTGTCAGACTCTTATTGACTAAAAACCGTTCCTTCTCCTGCACTTCGAGCCGGAGGCCCGGTAACCCGTTAGGTTCTCCGCGACTCCGAATCGGCATCAGCCCTATTGGGCCCCATCCGTGGTCTGATGGGATGACCCATATGTTAGGTTGACATAGGTTAGATTCACTTGAGTAATAAACTGCGTTATTGTAGATCAGGGAGTAAAACATAAATAAACAAACACATTAGATTTCGTTTTAGTATGCAAAGCTATTTTTTATTTTCAATATTTTAAAGGCCCTCTAGAAGCTAGAGTCATAATCATCGAAAAGATATTCAGAGGTTCAAATTCAAATCACTTTAATGTGGTTTACAATTTTTGACGAAATATGTTCCAAGTATACTGGAACAAGGTGTACTGGTGAAGGGTTTTTGCGTCTCATTTTTAACCAGTTATGTTTTAATACTAACCAAGGTTACCAAGAACTAAAGGGAAATTCAGCATAATAGGCAAGTGAGATGGGCCCAGCCACGGTGGGTAGCTCAGACCAAGAGCACGAACCCAAATTAAAAAAAATCTAAATCATCAGTAGTAACTACAAAAAGTGTTTAGTATTTACAATAAATTATATACTCGACTGTCGTTAGTTAACCAGTCTAAAACCGTGCGTATGTACTTTACCGGTTACATATCTTTTTAGACTTGCCCCACCCTGAGCTCCTGGCTGGCTACGCCCATGGCAAGTGATGTATGCCGTCTTCCGAAATCACAAACTTTGTCCACTTCATGTAACTACTAAAAATATCGAAATCATTAGCTTAATCCCGAGACCTTCTGCTCTACATACGGATTTATCCTATCAAAGACTAACTATGTATGAATGGATGTCGATGTCGACCGGCTCAGTATTATAGCGGTTCAGTTCAATACCCACGATGCAGTAATAAAACTGGTGTTGGCCAAAGAGAGGTCATTTGTTGACAAAGTAATTAATTATATATAACTTATTGTTATTTCACCTCTTTGTTGTCCATCATACCCATACAAGGACGAAATGTGGACAGTAATATCACACTCATATTATAAATCTCAAAATTTCGTCAATCACGCTTAAACTTTAGCTTTAGTCTTTTTTATACATATTTCTTATTTTTCTGTTACACACTGTGTCTTTTGTTTTAATTAGATTTCCTGTCTCAGGACTACTGGAAGAAATTCCAACACGAATAAGTAGCACCTTTGTACTCTTATTTTATATATGTGTTATCCTCTGTGCTGTCTGTGTGTACATAAATTATTAAATAAATAAATAAACTACTGAACGGATTTTGATAAAATTTGGTATACTGGCAGGGTATGGGCTGACTTAGGTGATAGGATACTTTTTATACCAATTAAACCTTTTACTGCCGACAAAAACTGTTAAGGCAAAGGCTGATCCTCCGCTAGCGTCGGACATCATTGTCCGCAAGGCATCCAATGTGTTAAATGCTCCCATAGGATAAAACAGGAATCGTGTTCTACGCAGATAAAGTCACGGGCAACAACTAGTTACAAATATGTATAAAGGGCTCATAAAAAGTACTTTGAACCTAAGAAAATATAAAGTAGTAGATTATACGTAGGTATTTAATGTTCTTAGTAGGCAGAGCAGAGGAAACAAATTCGACTGCTGAATACAAGATCCCAGGTTCTATTAACGAATTTTTACTTTTGATATAATGATGAGATAACAAGCGCAATTAGAAAAGTAAAATCAGTAGTGCAGTTACTACAAAATTTTCTGTATTCTCAGAACACCATTACCTTTCATCTATTCTGTTATTACACAATTCAGAAATCATGTTAGAGAGTTTCTGCAACCAATAACTAACTAAATAAAGTACCTACTAGGGTAAAAGGCATACTAAAAGATCTTTTATTCAAGTTTTAGAGTTATGTAAGAAAATAGATCATTAGAAAGAGTCGTGAGGTCAAAAGAAAATAGTAGTCTAATTCAGCCTCCAAGCACATCGCATTTTTGCGACATAAAAAAACAATAAACAGTATAGCATTCTACTTGTTTGTATGACCAGGTGCATAGATTAGATAGAAGCTAAAGAATTATGTAGGGATCGCACTAGGGCGCGCTGTATAGTTTCTGTCTACTATTATGAAACAAATACGTGAATTTATATATTATGATTTGATGATACACAGATGTTAAGCCCGACCGGAGTGATACCACGGCCTTACACAAAAAAACCGACGTGAAACAACAATTGCGTTGTGTTTCATTGTGTGCATCAGGTTACCGGAGGGCCAATTACCCTTGCTTAATCTACCCAATACCCGAATTCCCAACAGTCCTCATATTGCTAAGCCCCAAAAGGCCGGTAACGCACTTGTGACGCCTCTGGTGTTTCATGTGTCCATTGGTGACGCTGATTGCTTACCACCAGGTGATCCGTCTACTCGTTTACCGGCTTATCCCATAAAAAAAAAGATTCTGCATGATATTGTTGTATAATTGAAGGAATACAAGCCGTACTTAACGTATATATAGATTATCATAGCATGTCTCTATTCTTAGATAATATAATAAATACGAATAAAACCAAACACACACTGAGACTAAACTACACAGCAAAATAAGGGAATTAAATAATCAAAAAATGTATTTTTCATCACCTTGAATATCCCATACTTATACAAATATGTTTTAACATTTCAGTTCCGAGGATTACCTTCAGGATACGCGAGACAGACTTAACAAATCTGATAACTGGGCTGAAACATCCTTCGGTCGTGAAGTTATGAATGTAAGTTACCTATCAAAAACATACCTTATTATTAAGGTAGTAAAGTTCGAATTAATTTAGATTTATTATACATATTTATTTGTTTTTAAATATATTTAACAAATCCTTCCTATATTGCCATTTGTAGTAATTACTACGTATAGGAAAATCGCGAGGAAAACCACATCACGGTTACAGCTTATGTACTTATAGCTATTCTCTTTAGAGTATTCGTTGTTTTTACTTATAATTATTACTTTTAACTTACCGATCATAAGTATTGTGGCCAGCTTACTTCAATTTACTCCTTTGTGCCAATTTATGCGATTTTCATCTTTATTGTTTTGAAATAAAATCGAAAATCCAACAAAATATTGGAGTAAGTTAAACAGCTAGCTTCTATACGTACGATGTATTTTTATTTTTTGAAATCAATAAATATGGTGTTGTTATAATCAGGTTGTAAAGAAAAATAACACAAGCTACAAGAAGGCGGTCCGTGAGTGTGACTCTGACAGCAGCGGCGCGGACAGTGAGCTGGACGATATCTTGGACGAGGCTATCAATGAGCAGAGCGAAGGACCTACACCGCCTAAACTAAATAAGGTAATTATAAAATACTAACTTCTAATTAGAATCCGAAGTAGCTTATGAGACTATGAGCCACTTTAACATACGTATTTGCCATAAATAATCCTCATGGTTAACAGACAGGTTGAATACTGTAGATAAGGTTAGGCCTCGGTCAAATCTGTCGCCTCTTGCATAACAACAGCGGTAAAGAAATGACAAAACACCTCCTAAAGATGTAAGAAGATAGATAGAGATAGGAAAAGAAAGATTAAAGACATGTTCATGTCCCAAGTCTGCGGCGAAATGCATCCTACTTACCGTCACCACACGGCCAACACATTACGCAACAGCATATAAAAATAAGGGAATAAACACAATAGCCACCCAAGCCTTGAATGACACGCAAAGCTAGACACGTTTTTATATCATTCCCATTGTTATACCATTGACTGGTTTCCGCCACAAAACTAAAGAGTCGGTTCCCTCAGTAAACATTTAGCTCTCATCCGAACCAGTCGACACTCGTATAAAAATCATATAAATAAGTGCATTGTTTATTGTGTACGTGTGGTAGAAATATGTGGTATTATAATCTGTGTTTGTGTTCACTATTATGAGTGCAAGTGATAAATAAAAACAGATCTTGTCATTCACACTTATATTGGCATTATGATGTGTGTTCGTTAAGGAAATTTAAACGGATTTATGTAGGTATTGTTAGTAACATTATTTGCGTATTTTTGTTTATTATTTTCTTGCTGGCTGGTCCTGTGATTTCATTCCTTATTGTAGAAACTGTTAACCCTTTTATGTTGTGAAGGCTTGTGGTTCACCTCCACCATTGACTGTGTCTGATAGACCTTTTTTTGAAGGGGAAAATCATGCAATGACTTCCTCTTGCTTTAGGTGAAACTAGGCATCCAACTACTCCCGCCCACGGTGAGGCGAGAGAGCGCCAGACTCCTGACTAAAAACCACCCCGTTCCTACTCCTGATTTGAGCCTGAGCTCCGGCACTCCGTTGGGTTGTCCACAGCTCCGGATCAAGGTCTCTGATAGACTATGATGATGATGCCATGAAGTTTGTTAGACTAGTTTTCCTTCAGTTCCCTTTATAAAACGATTTTAAATTGTAAACCATACCCGGTGATTTCTGGTTTAACGAGTTTTGCTAGTTTTTGTGAATCAGTCATTGGAAACGAAATTTGACAGATTAGGCAAGTGAGCAACTGCTAGACTAGATGCCTCAGGGTATGCTATAACCTCCCCGTCGGAAAGCAGGTTAGAGATCGCAGTTTAAAAGGTTATTAGTAAAGCTGTTGCACAGTTAAATATGTAGTGTGCCCCCTATCCCATAAAAACAACGAACCAACCACATATGTGGGTTGGTTGCAGCAATCTGTGGAGTCCTCATCAAGTTTCGTGTACCAGGAGCGCTCGGCCTTCAAGTCGCCGCTGAAGGTGCAGCCGGCCACTCCTGCCAGGCACGACAAGGGCGGCGAGCTGGTGCACAGCGTCAGCTTCTACAGGCGTATGCAGAACCAGGTCAGTTGTCTAGAAATTATATCTAATACCACATTTTAAAGAGCCAAAAAGACGTGGCCACAGCCTTGTCTTGAGTTTCTTTGTGTTTTGTGTGTACGTTTACCAGCATAGGGATCACATACAACACTCTAATACACCGAAACAACAATTTGTAGATCATACAACTTAACTTTCACTATATTTTTAACTTTAAAATAATGAATAATATTGGAATATTCATTTATTGTGCAAATAGTCTAATAGTTTGTCTTGTTATTTCACTATGTGTTTCATTTTCCATTTGTCATTAATATTGATTATATCAAAGACAAAATAACACACCAGTGCAACCTAAGATTACAGTACTAAACTACAAAAAATCTCTTTCAAAACTTAATAGCACAAATGTTAACAGTATTCCACTATATTCCCCAGTCCACAACGCCATCAACTCCAATGCGCGTGGTCCGGCACGTGTCGCCGGAACGTGAGCCGCCCGCCACGCCGGACGAGCCCACCGCCAACGTCACCACCGTACGGGAGCGCATCAAGGAACTCCAGAACGAAATCGCTAAACAACAAACTGTTATATCGCAGGTAAATGTTTGAAATTCGCGACGAATAATTTCATGCTAACAAGTCTCAATTTGTGAGTCCCAGTGCGACTTGAAATTAGTCGAGCGACCTCGATTAGTTGCGGGAGGAAATCGTATATTTATTTGTAGTTGTTAGTATATAAAAGTTACAAAATAATGCTATTAAATTACAGAAGAAAATGGATAAAGGTTTTCGTTTTTTTTTTTTGTAAAATCGTACATTATTTTGTTTGTTTAAATTCTTAATAGATTGTTCCCATTTTCAGGCGAGTCAAGCTTTGAACCTATGCGCTGCTACTATAGAATTCAGCGGCTCCACCGAACAGGCAGAGGGCGAAAGACTGTTGCTATTAGCGAGTGAGTAAATTCTTAAATATATTCTCTCATACATATCTTGAATTATTGAGGAATAACTAAATCCTCGACATTGCAGTTACATATGTAAGTTACTTACTAAAAATATTGAGAACGCTTGCCACTCAGTGGCTGGTCGCAGCAATGGGGTCCTTGATACTCCTCTTACTTGTACAATATAAATAAATGTATGTTGTTGTTGCAGCCCACCGGCGCCAAGCGTGCCTGCACGAGCTGCAGCGGCTGCAGGTGGAGGGCGCGGGCCCGGCCGCCGCGCCCGGCATGGCCTCGCTACAACTCGCTCACCTCGCCGTGCCGCTCAAACGGGATTATGTCAGGCAACTTAACGCAGGTAGTTACTAGAACATTATACTCAAAATTCCTCGATTAATTTTTTTATGGGATAAGGGATAAGCCGGTAAACGAGCAGACGGATCACTTGATGGTAAGCAATCGGCGCCGCCCATGGACAACTAGAACAACTGCTTACAAGTGCGTTGCCGGCCTTTTAGGGATTAGGAGTTTGAGAATTGTTGGGGGGGTCTCCGGTAACCTCACTCACATGACGAAAGACATCGCAAGCGTTGCTTCACGTCTGTGTCCTGTGGATTTGGATATATTGTATCCATATTTAGAGCAAAAAGCGGCCAGCGAACTGACGGATCACCTAGCGGTAAGAAATTGCCATCCACAACACCAGAGGCGTCATCTGCCAGTCTTTTGGGTGGGGATAGAAGGGAGAATTGGGCCTACGCTAAACTCACTCACGCATAAGGTGAAGCACAACGCAAGCGTTATTAATCACGTCAATTTTATGTGGAACTGTGTTATCACTCGAATCGAACTGATTTATTCATACCAAATCGGGGTTTTCTACGTGCAAAAATATGAAGACTGGGAGATATAGAAATGACTTTATCTATTTAACAGAAGATATGATTATAAACAGATTAGAATGTGTAAAGATTGTATTAGAACGGTCCGCATATGTAACTATATAGTAATGTATAATAAGTACTACGTCCGGTCCGCAGACGGCGCGGTGGGTCACCACGCGGTGTGCCTGGTGAAGTGCCGCGACCGCGTGCTGGCCACCTGCATGCGGCAGACGCAGCCCACCGCCAACGTACTGCACTTCCCCGACGACATACAGATGCTTGGACTCGCTAGCGACTTCAAGGTAACACTCCTCAATATACCACTTTTTGATGATAACTAAGGAAATATTGCACATATAATCGTTTGGAATGTAGATTTTAGACTGATACTTGAAGTAATATAAATATCGATTGACTTAATGACGAATTTCGGTCAATGAACTGAATCGTTTCATGTATCCAAATTAATTTCAGATTATTATTCCCAGTCTAGAAAAGTTATTGATATTCAAAGTTAAGCTAGCTTTATGATTCCATCATCGTAGCACACGGCGAAGCGTCACAGATTCATGGTAGATGTCTCACCAACACGCACGAAGCGCTTCGCATCAAGCTTCTTTGTGCTTACTGCTAATGAGTGGAATTCTTTGCCAGAGTCTGTGTTTCCTGAAGGGTATAACCTAGGTGTCTTCAAGGCCCGAATGAATAGATTGCTTATGGGATGACATGCTTTATCGTAGGCTGCATCATCGCTTACTACCAGGCGAGATAGTAGTCAAACGTCGGGCCATCAAATATATAAAAAAAACAAGTCGATTATGCCAGTATTTTCTTCATTTCATCTCATTCTCTCATTTTAAATATCCTAATTCTGTTTCCAGGTGACAGTGGAAGTGTACCTACTACAAGCATCGAAGGAAGTGTTGTCACACGAGATGAAATACCACATTTCTAACAAAAAGGTGAGCTTTATTTACTTAAACACTCATTTGACACTCTTCCAGTTACGTATTTCAAGTCAATCTTATTGTTTCCACTAATAGGGTAGACGACTAATTTTTATTTTAATGTCCGTCTGATAGATTATTTAAAAACATTAGACACGTATTTTTTATTTTCTCACAGAAACGAATAGTTTCGAAGATATATTGATTTGAAATGTCGCGTGACGTCACTTCTCAGTACATTTTATACTAAGGAATGACGTTTTAGCCCCCACTCCTAAACTTTGATTCGTTTTATTTAAGTATTGTTTTATTATACGACAAAATAAAAAAATACGTGTCTAATATTTTTTCATTACCTAACTTACGGACTAATTATATTTTTAATTTTCATACCCTGTCATCATCCCCATTAAACGATAATTAATGTTATCCCAACAGTCAACTTCAAAGCTCCTGACACCGAAATCAAAGATATCAGAGCTGAAGGCGCCCCGCGTACAAAGTCCAGCGGGACCTATGGCGGTCCGCTCGCCACAGTTCTCGTTGCACGGATACTGCATCTTCGCACTGCAACAGTCTACTAGGAAGAACTTTACGCTGAATAAGGTTAGTAGATAGATTAGATAACATAACATCACACCTTTGATCCCCGAACGGGTAGGCAGAAGTGCACATTACGGCACTTAATACCGAAATACAATGTAACATCCAATTTTCACTATGTTATGAGTCCCATATGATTTTTCCCCTTTATAAAAAATGTATTTTATGGGATTAGGGCGAAACGAGCAGAACAGCTGATCATCTGATAGTAAGCAATTGGCATCGTTTATGGCTACCCACTTTACTAGAGACGTTGGAAGCCGTGGATTGGGCCTCCGGTAATCTTCACTGACACAGCGAAACACAACGCTGAGGTTGTTTCACGTCGGTTTTCTGTGAGGCCGTGGTATCACTCCGGTCGAGCTAGCGAATTTGAATCATAAATGTGTCATTGACTTTGTTTCTAAAACATCAACTAAACTTCCAGGTCCCAGGCGGCAGTCCTCTAGAAGGCTCGGTGAACCTAGAGATAAAGGCTCGCGTACAAGTATCGCCGCCGGCGCCGCACGCGGCCTTCCTCACTGCGTTCGACGATGTGTCCGGACTCGGAGCGTGGCACCGACGGTGGTTCAGGCTGCAGCCTCCTCGACTGGCCTACTGGAAGTACCCTGATGATGTGCAGAAGAAGGTAACATTTGAATCTTTGTAATAACGTGTCGCGGGTTTGATTCACGCACGGAACAACTCTTAGTGTGATCCACAGATTGTTGTTCCGGGTCTGGGTGTCATGTATATGTGAACTTGTATGTTTGTAAACGCACCCACGACACATGAGAAAATCCTAGTGTAACGTTTGTTTAAAAAAAACCTGCCTCGCAAAGACAAATGTAAAAATTCTCGCTAGTAAGTGTATTGTATGAACAATAACGTAACCATACAAATTTAACAACACGCTTATTCCCTTACAGATGCCAATCGGTGACATAGACCTCTCGACAGTGATATCAGATCGCGTAATCAAGGCACCGCGCGACCTCTGCGCCCGTCCGAACACGATCCTTCTAGAATCCTCCATACCAGCCGGTTTGATCGTCCCGGATTCAGGATCCCTAGTCTACGTCCGACGGCCAGACGGATCTGTCGTTAGACGCCATCTCCTAGCCGCTGATACGCCTAAGGACAGAGATATTTGGCTCGACTGCTTGAACAAGGCGTTAGAATATGTTAGATGCTGCGGCACAGAAGACGATTGAGTGGAGTAAGAATCTTTGATGTTTTCTTTAGATTTTTCTATGAAGAGGTTTGTTGTATTTTAAATGGTGGACGTGTAGAAATTTGAGCCTTTTAAACAAGGAGTTAGTTGTCAAAGTAGATTGAAAGGTTTTGTTGTAAACTGTGGAGTTAATGAATGTATTTTTACTTCCTCAATACATTTTATATTGCTGATTTTGCGTAAGACTCCTATTGTACCAGATATATTATAGGCAATAACATACGAGCTTGGACGAGCTGATTGATTAGATAATTGGAGCCGGCCAATCAGAGGCCACGTTCTGCGCTGTGATTGGCCGGTGTCAATGAACCAACAAATCAAAACGCCGAACGCGTTCTCCTTTCGATTACTTTTAACGTAAATCTAACTTGTACTAAGCCCTTAGAGCGTTGAACACAGTCTCGTTTCGATTAATTTCAACGTAAAACAAAGGCCTCAGGCCTTTTACATTGATCTTGTCAAAAATGGGTATTACATATTATAACCCTTACTAACCACCCTTATATCATCTCTTATCTAAGAGTTTGTCGGTGTCACTTATAGGTAGATGAAAACCAAAATGTTAAGCGCCATCTAAGCTTAGGAGTTCTTTAAAATTTAAAAGAGGTTGGGGTATACGGGCCGTTTTCCTTCGAAGATAAAAAGTCGTTCAATACTCCACAGTGATTGTATAACCTTTAAAATACGACAACCTCTTCATATTTGTACATTAAATTAACTACTATAATATCTTTAACATAGCAAGTAACGATAGAATGTAGTATGTCAATTATTTGTCTATTTTTATACATACATGGAATGGATTATAAACATGTGATAAACAGGAATCATTAAAAGACATCGTTCTGTGATTTTTGATGAAATATGTATGGATTAGTCTTTTTTATTGGATTGATGGTAATTGATAAGGCTTTTTCTAAAGTAAAATTGTCTAGAATACCATATTTATGTTACCTGTCTATTCAGATACTCAAATGGCACTCGATTTTAAGTCGTGCTTAACTATAGTTCTGTCAGTACAAATTGTTTGTAAAATGACAGAGAAGACACAATAGGGTAGACGACTAATTTTTATTTTAATGTCCGTCTGATAGATTATTTAAAAACATTAGACACGTATTTTTTCTTTTCTCACAGAAACGAATAGTTTCGAAGATATATTGATTTAAAATGTCGCGTGACGTCACTTCTCAGTACATTTTATACTAAGAAATGACGTTTTAGCCCCCACTCCTAAACTTTGATTCGTTTTATCTAAGTATTGTTTTATTATACGACAAAATAAAAAAATACGTATCTAATATTTTTTCATTACCTAACTTACGGACTAATTATATTTTTAATTTTCATACCCTGTCATCATCCCCATACAAGGTGTTGTTTTAAAGCCGCGTCATTTTCTAGGAGGTAACTCGGCTATTGATTCTGAGTCCGAATCAATAAAAAAAATTGTAGGTAAATAATTTTCATTTTTCTAAAATAACGTAAGTGCGAAGTACACGCCGCCGTCTTGTAACTAGCTTTATAACGCGGCTTAACACACACAAACTCAAAGACGTAATTGATATTATTCCTAATTCCATAAAACTCCAATAAGAAACATTGCAGTCGCTTATTCTGAAATACTGTCGAACTCAAACGAATTATTATAGCCGTATTTTTAACTATTGGCCCGAAATTTTCTTTTACATTGAACCTGTATGACTTCTGTGACATGCCTTCGAGAAATGACACGGTTTCAAAACTACACCTTGTATTTAAGTACCACTTAAAATTGCCTTTAAGTGTCTAATCGCCATCTATACAAAACACGTTATGAAGCTATTCTCCGCCTTATCTATTATTTGATTGGCAGGGCCCAATGAAATTATGTATTACCTAACGTATTGATTTACCTAAGGGACCAATTTTGATATAACAACTAGACTATCATGCATCATAGAAATCTTGTCGTATAGTCGGCCGTCTGCACGAGTATGGAAAAGTACGCAGGCTATGCGAACTAAGCTAAACTAACTTATGCCCAAATACTGAAATGCCACTGAATTTTGAGTCGCGCTTAAGCATAGTTCTGTCACTATATATTCTTTGTAAAAAACAGAGATGGCACGATATTTAACAGCCGAGTACTCTTGTGGTCACTGGTGATCGCTCTCCACTTACTCCATTAAAGACCTTATTTCCGATGCTTATAGACTACTTTTGTATAAACAAATGTTGTGGATTTTTCGTGATCGTGGATAGGACTTACAGTATTCGGGTGTTAGGTTATCTCTTGGTCTGTAACCAGCTTATACAACACCAAAACATGTTTTTTTAAACGAAATGAGTGAATGTTCTAATCTTTCCGATGTTTTGCTATTTAAACAAAAGAAATGTAAATATGAAAATTGTTTTAACTGTTCTCGATAACTAACTCGTCTATTTTAGTTCTTATCTCTAACTGCGACGTATAATTTCAAAAAACTTTGAATTGGAGGATGTTATCATAAACGATCCTGCAGTTTTCGAGTTTTGCGCATTTTGCGCTTGATAATTTTTATTCTATTTTACTCCTCATTAGCTGTGTTATTCGAAATATAACCATGATAATACATAATTATTCATATATTTAATTAATTTAGCTAAGGTCGAAAATTTTACATTTCATTACAAAAAAATTACGTAAATTCTTAGATTAATTTTAGGAGCGTACCAATAAAACGTAAATATTTTATAATTATAATAGTGTGCATAGTTTTAGTCTGACTGAAATCTAGCTTTAATTTTACTAACAATTTAATTTTAATCATGATACGGATTTTTAATACCTTCATTATTATACATTATTCTTAGCCCCTATAGCGAAGAGCAGAAGTAGGAACGGGGTGGTTTTTAGGCAGTAAGAGTGACACTCCTTCTCGCCTCACTCGGGCGGGAGAAGCCATTCGATGAATCCCCTCCCCCCTTTGAAAAAATAAAGTCCCTTTAGCTCTCTATTACATGAAATTATTTTAAACTTATGAGAAATGATTGTTACATTTAATATTCTCTGATTACGAATTCCTATAATTATATGCTCTTCTGAACAATTTCCATGAGTTCTAAGAATAGGATGTTCACGTCTCCTGGAGCCTTTGGGCTTCACTGTCAAGACTTTTCTGGTAGAATTCTACTGTAGATCCTGCAATGATTTGAAGTGTGACGAATTTCTAATGTCATTTTGAATTCTATTTCTTTGTTAAACATAGAATGGAACATAGATTTCAGTTTATGCTGTTCCTGTGAAATAGCTCCATTATTTTAGTGACTCGTAATACTAACAAATATATAATATTTTACTTTGTAATTACATAACAATTAATTTCTATAATCATATTGATGTAATACTTTAGTTAACTTTCTTCATTATTTACAAAATGGCCTGTGCACTTCTATAATCATTTTAATTTAGTCCGCTTTGAGTGCAAGATTTAGTAAAAAATTACAGTTATATTATCTATCAGTTATATTCAGACTTAGGGCCGATTGTTTCAACGTCTGATAAATTTTAACTGAGGAATAAATTTGAATATTTGACAATACTTCCATACTAAAAACTGTCAAATATGAATTTTATTCTACAGTAAAGAATTATGACTATTACTGATGGTTGAAAAATCGACCCTTAGAGGAAGAACTGTGCAGTCGTTGTGGCGTGCGTTCAATTTAGTATTTGATAAAGTATTGAAATTTTAATTTTTAGATATTATGTTATTAAATAAACCTAGGAGATACATTTCAGTCATATAGAGATGTCAACATACAACCGTTCTTTTAAGAAAATTTGCCGTTTTATCATTTTATAATTTTGAAAGGAAAAATTCCTCGATTCTTTGTAATATTTTTACATCTGATTTTTTGATAAAGTTTTATGCTGTAGTCAGGGACAAGCCACAGATCTTATGTAGACTAGATACGGTATTAATTAAATCGCAGTCGGCAATTCACTTGTCACATTTAGACACTGGTGACCATGAGCGGCGCCAAATGCTTACCATCAGGTGATCCGTCTGCTCGTTTGCTGTACTGTAAAAAATAGCATCATCAATCATGAACTGACGGATGTAACATCTTACCCTTAATCTCAGAACCATTTAAATTAAGTCGGAGACGCATTTATACAAGGAACACTGCGCTCATGTCATATATAGTTAACAAAACATCTGTGGTACCAATATGTCTACCAATATTAATTTGTAATTAGCACCAAACATCGGAATTGATTGTGTTTTGCAATAATTGTGTGTGTCTAGTTTGTAATTATATTTTATATGTGTAAATAAAATCAATTTATTACAATAATATAACTATTTTAAGTATTTTCTCTTGTTTTTGTTATTTCCTTGTTTTATGATACAAATCTAATATTATTTATCAGATTTGTTATCGATAATGCAGTTTTGATGTTCGACTTTGCATGTGTCAGGACGTCGCTAGATTAATCTTTCTGAAAATTCTCAGTAACAACACTAAAGATAACACAATATATTTTGCTGAGACGCTCACCTGCTGATAAAATACGGGCAACAGTTAGTTTAGTATAATAAAAGCTACTGTCTTTGCAGTAAGTTAATATTTCGATTCTTTATACTAAATAGCTGTCCTAACATTACCTAATTCATCATTGTCATCTTGTTGAAATCAAAGAATAACAGAAATACATTCGTCAAAAATATTCTGAAGGTAATAAAAGACTAATATAAGACTTGAATCTCTTTTAATTATAATTATTACACAGAGATTTTTCAGTTACAATTTGATGATATACCTATCAAAATACCGTTCCTCGCTTAGTTACCTATGTCATGCATTTAATTCACATAATTGGATACCTAAATACCTAACTACTTATATAATAAAGCATATATACTAGATACAAGAATACATTAGCTTCAAAATATGAGCATAAACCTCCATTTTACCAATATTATAAATGTAAAACTTTATGTGTGTTTATTAGTCATTCAAGTTAAAATGGCTGAACGGATTGGGATGAAATTTGAAACAGAGGTAGATCATGCTCGGGAACAACACATAGGCTACTTTTTATGCCACGGGAACGAACTTGCAGAGGATAGATGCTAGTACTACATATATTTTTATTATAATCCTTACTTATAATATTATAAATCTGAAAGTGAGTTTGTTTGTTTGTTTGTTTGTTCCGACTTCACACCGTAACTACTAAACCGATTGCATTGAATTTTTGCAGACGTAAAGTTAGTAGTCTGGATTAAATAATAGGGTACTTTTTATCCCGAAAAAATTTGATATTCCGGAGGGAAAACAAAAGTATTGGTATAGATGGCGCTGTATGTATTGGATATGTCACATAGGCTACTTTTATCCTTTTGTGACGCGAGCGAAGCCGCGGGTAAAAGCTAGTGGATTATAAAGGATAATAATAACGTAATAAAATAACGCCTGAAGTAATTAGCTTAGCAACTGTGCGCAGAACATCAAAAAGTTTTATATTATTATGTCATAGGAGTTTTATGGATGAAAAGTTTTCACGCCCTTGAGTAATTATACAGATATCAACTCGCTTGGTTTGATTACATCATAATTCAATGATTGTTAAAAAGTTTACGTTTAAGCTTCACATTTTGGGTTGCTAAAGGTTAGTTTGGGACCTCGGAGTAGTGTAAGTAATCACATTTTAAATAAATCAAGCATTAATTGGAACTCGAAAACTATTTATTGATTTATGAAACTCAACTTTAAGCCATTATATGTATGATTCATTCTAGATATGATTATAGTTTTCATCTATAACAATCCTAAAGCATCTGCATTTGCTATAGAAATCTATGTGACAATGAAAAAGTAATTCAAAGACAGAGTTAAAAGGCTTCATATAACCACAGAACGCAATCTTCAATCACTCGTATCCAGCCGTTACCAGTTGTAAATGAAGATTCACGCTCTGTTTTTCAATTGCTTAACATAGCTTTGCATTTGTTATATGTAGTACTATACATTGGTGAAATATTCTATAACAATGTCTTGTTCTGGCACAAAAATGAATACCTACGTAATATTATAGATTTTAAAGTAAAGTTTTAGTCAAGCAATAGGGTAGATGAGTAATTTTTATTTTAATGTCCGTCTGGTAGATTAGGTATTTAAAAACATTAGACACGTATTTTTTATTTTCTTACGGGAACGAATAGTTTCGAAGATATATTGATTTGAAATGTCGCATGACGTCACTTTTGAGTACGATTTATACTACTCTACTCTACTCTAAAATTACGTAGCTACATCCCACTCCTAAACTGTGATTCGTTTTATCTAAGTATTGTTTTCTTATACGATAAAATAAAAAAAATACGTGTCTAATATTTTTTCTGTA